ACACAGAAGACTGCCATTGACTGCTTAGTGCATTTGCAAAGGGGAGAGGTTTTGAAAAGAGTCACTCTCTACCAAGAGTGTGGCAAAGTTGAAGACTGCAGATCTTTCAAATTCAGTGGGCTTGCAAAGATGCCAGGTTTTAAAAGACCTTTTACTGTTCTTTCAAAGCTCCATGTCTCCCAGAGTTTCTTCAACCATTGAGCAGGCCTGCAGAAGCACAGAAAGAGCACTCACCTGCACTCTCCCGAGAGGAAGTACAAAAACACAGGTTGAGCCACCTGCAAAGCTCGCCACCCAAACGCTAGTCCAGTGGGCTTGCAGAGCGGGTGAGAAAAGCTCTGTGCTTCTTTTTGCTGTGCACAGGAAAGCCAAGCCAAGTCACCTGCTAAAACTCAACCCTTCTCCAGGCCCCATCTCTGCATCATGACTAGAAGAGGTGTCCCACTGATTAGTGACATTTGCAAAGGGAACGGCAGTTAATCCAGAAGGTTTAACAAATCACTTAACGTGCCATGCACATGCATTATCGAGACAACACCAATCAACAACAAATCAAAAAAAGAAGGAATTGACACATGGCAGAGAGTGGGAACAGCAAACCTTCTGTTTGTGTAGACTTCTGCCGATTCAAGAATGGTTGGATAGCAATAGGTACAGATTATCATTCTACGTTTTCCACAGACAGTGTGGAGTTTTTCATTATTATGGCTGATCCTCCTCTCCTCCACAGGTTTAATCCTTCTCTAAAAGTCTTTCAGACTGAGATTCTTTAAACCAAGGCTTTTCAACCAGTGGTACGGGTACCACCTGTGGTACCTTGGCACCTGGCAGGTGGGACGCAACCATCCTAGAAAAGTGGTAGTGGGGAAGGGGAATGAGCTCAACCGGTGGCAGCACCGCACAAGCCTGAGCGAGAGATGGCTGGAGCTGCAGGGTTGTCAGGGCTCAGCGGAAGCACCAGGATCAGTGCCGCTTTCCAGCTGGAGCCCAGCACTGATCCTGGCACTTCTGCTGAGTCCTGAAGAAGCACCAATCAGCTGGAATGTTGCCTTATCTCCAGGGTCTTGTGATTTACATTCAGATGCATGGCAACCGATTCATATTTATGACAGTCACAGTGTCCCAGGGTCATGTGAAATGACCAAAATCTGCTGCAACCACCCAGCAGATAGGGGGGAATAAAAACCAAACACCCCCCACCCCACCCCTGCTGCCAATCCTCAACAGAAATGCTCACAACAATGAAAACCTCGGACAGGAGGAAGAGCGCTGCCGGGTGGGCAGGCAGGTGTCTTCCTCGGCTGTGGCTTGGGGGGCACTTTTTCAGTGCCATTGTAACTTCAAACAGTCACTAAACAAACTGTTGTAAGTTGAGGACTACCTGTACTTCATCACTTTGTTCCTTTCCTTTTTTTTGTCATCAAGTTTTTGACACCTTGCTAGGTGATTGGTGGTATTCGGATATTGCCATATCCTAAAAGTGGTACAATGGGTGAAAAGGTTGAAAAGCCCTGCTTTAAACCTCAGGTGCTACCCAGCTGCCAGGAAATTAGAGCCTGAGAGGCACTAAATTAATCTACTAGTTTTTGCAAATCACCATCAAGTGCAATAAGCTCCTTCCCTATGCAAGAGCTGCCTGCATCAATCTGAGATTGGCATCACGCTTTTTATGCCTCCACAGCATAAAAAGGCAATGTTGTTATCATAATCATAATAAAAAGTTGGAAGGGACCTTGGAAGTCTTTCTAGTCCAACCCCCTGCTCAGGCAGGAAACCCTATACCATTTCGGACAAATGGCTGTCCAGTCTCTTCTTAAAAACCTCCAGTGTTAGAGCATTCACAGCTTCTGGAGGGAGGTTGTTCCACTGGTTAATTGTTCTAACTGTCAGGAAGTTTCTCCTTAGTTCTAGGTTGCCGAGCCCTTCCTAGTTCTTCTGTGGAGTGACTTTGCTACCATCCCACATACTGGCCATTTGGGCTGCTTTATATTTTTAACCAATTATTTCACGTTTTGTAGTGATTTGCTGGAAGGAAGACAGATAAGCCCCATGGGGGGATAGAACATAATCAACAGCAAAATCATGGGTGTGGCAAAACTGCTGCAAAGGAAATAAAAGGTCAAGCTGGGTTGTATAGGTAGTCCTTGAGTTATGTCCACAATGGAGCCCAAAATTTATGTTACTAAGTGGGCTATTTGTTAAGTGAATTTTGCCCCATTTTACCACCGTTCTTGCCATAGTTGTTAAGTTAGTAACATGGTTATTAAGTGAATCTGGCTTCCCCATTGACTTTGCTTTTTCAATAGGTTGCAAAAGATGAACACATGATCCCGGGACACTGCAACCATCATAAATATGAGTCAGTTGCCAAGTGTCTGAATTTTGATCACGTCACCATGGGGATGCTGCAACGGTTGTAAGCGCAGAAAACGGTCATAAGTCACTTTTCCAGTAACTTCAAATGGTCACTAAATGAACTGTTGTAAGTCGAGGATCACCTTTATATGGAAGTGCCCATAAACTGGTCACTTTCTTATAGTGGTCACATACCTGGTCCAATTTCACACCCTTGTATTCAGCTACTGACACAGCTCCATAATTTTCCATAGGAGTGAGCCAAGGCACGTTAAGAGTAATACAATTATTACAGAGAAAGCTGTCCATTTGATGAAGTGATGTGAATAATATGAATACGGCAGTGAATTAATTAGTCTTTAAGTTGCTAGAGGATTCTCAGTATTTTTTAATAAGAAGTCAGCTAGACAGGAATGTTGTTTACAATGGATGAGAATGCTCCAAATTCTCAATCTTTTAAGACTGCTTGTCATATGTTTTCCTTTGTCATCCACTATAAAACGCTGCAGAGACATTTGAAAAATAGGCTAGTTTCCCAGTTCCAGTGTTATGGGCTTCTTTTAAAAACAATTGTAGGTAGCTATAAAAAGGTAGAGGTCCTTCTGACAAAAATCACCATCCTATATACAAATAAGCCTTCTAGATGGTTATAGGATTGCCATATTCCAATCTGGAAACTGAGTAAAAGCTCCTTGTTGTAGAAATACTGACTGCCAGCCTGCAACAATTTAGCCTAGCCTGGACAAACCCACCCCATGTGATTAGTACAATGGAGTATGTCTTGATAAAATCTAGAAAGCCAAGTTGAGTAAACCACAGGCAAATATTAGGTGGATGTTATATGAGCGCAGCCACTACTCGTACTGGGTTGCCGGTTATATGATCATTGCCACTACTAAAACCACACAATGCAACATACAGTAACATAGCTAGCCCCAGCTACACCCACTTATCCCCTCCTTAATTTTGTTACCTGTGCCATGCAGAAATCCTGCTTCTGGCAGCCAATAGGCCTAAGGGTGAACACTGCTATAATGGCCCTTCTCTTGGTGAACTTCCTCTTCCTGTTCTAATCACCTAACTGATCCTAGATGTCCAGAAATCTACGGGATTACAATTGGTAGGTGTCCCAGTGAGTGATGAGTATTCTAAACTAAGGGAATAAACTGAGCCATCCGTAGCAGAGTAAGGCTGCAAGTGAGAAAGCAATGAAGATAACATCAGAACACGGCAAAGGGCATCCTGGGTGTGAATGTTGTGATACACCCACAACTGAACTGAATTACTAATTCCTGTACCATACACAATACTAAAAGCATTCCAAGAGCCGTGGTGGCGCAGTGGTTAGAATGCTGTATTGTGGGCTAATTCAGGTCACTGCCAGCAGTTCAATCCTGACCGGCTCAAGGTGGACTCAGCCTTCCATCCTTCCCAGCTGGGTAAAATGAGGACCCAGATTACTGGGGGCCATAGGCTGACTCTGTAAACCACTTAGAGAGGGCTGCAAAGCACTGTGAAGCAGTATATAAGTCTAAGTGTTATTGCTATACCTAGATCTCTCTCTGTCCTACTTATATGGCATGGTTAGATTTTTAAAAAAATGAAGATGGACTAAAAGTTGTTTTAGAGGTCAAGCAGCTGTGGACAGGGGTGCTTTTACTACCTAGGCTTCAGCACTCACTGTTGTCTTGATCACAGGATGTCATGAGCTCTTATCAAGGATGTTTCACCTCATACTGTGACTAGTGTTTTATATATGAATGTTCCCCCCCCCCATCACTTCTGAAAGGATATTGGTTTGACATATATGGAAACCAACCAATTCCATTGTGCAGAAACTAATATTCTGCAAAATGCAAACTCTGTTTCAGGAAAGCAGACGTACAAAATGCAAAGGTTAGCAAGATAAAACACAAGGAGTCCCTGTTGCTGGGCAGAGCGAGGAAAAGGTCGACCAGACAGAGCATTTCAATTCTGCTAATGGCTACCTGAATTCTCCTGTGCTTTAAAATTACTAAAAAAAACAACAACATCTACAATAGATCACAAGTGTGTGTGAATGGAAGCAGGCATGGTAGGGAGTCTGGCTTTTCATCACCAATGAAGTCATGGGAACAATGGCACCGGCTGCTCACGAGAGTCATATTCCACCCAGCCCTCGTGCAGTTAAAGGGCCTGCAAGTCAGTTCTGGGCAAGGGCAGAGCATCTGTTTTTCGCTTGAGGACAAGTCTGTTGCAAGAAAAGCAGTCATTTCTGCAGCTGTAGCAGCAGCAGCAAAAAATAATAAGCTCTTTCCAGAAAGTTTACACCATGCACAGAGTCAGCAACATGCTTTAATTGGTTACCCCACTCTTCTGTTGTTACCGCTTCAGGGAGAGTTTGGTTTAGATTATTATACTGAAGAGCTGAACCATTGAAGTACTTAGGCTAGTACAAACGGCCGGGGGGGGGGGGAGAGGGGAATTTTGACATTGTACCAGTGACCGAAAATCCTGACCTCCAGCATCGTGACAGCAGTGTTGTTTTTTTCAGTGAGAGCAGTTTACCAAAAGAAGACGCAAAGGTTTATCTGAAACACCAGATGTTCGCGTAGGACCTTTCCTGGCAAAACCCTGAAAACTCCGTGGACGTCGGTTCAACTCACCTATTCCTGCTTGCAAAGACCTCTTCATTGAGAGTGACTGGGAGGACTTGTGGACGGGGCTGAGGGGAAGAAAAGAGGATGTGCTCCTTCAGGAAACATGCTGGGGCTGAAGGTAGAAAGAGGGCAGCCCCTGCGGCAGGGGGTGTTGGCAACAGGAGGAAATGATTCATAACCTGCTGTTGCTGCTGCTGCTGCTGCTGCTGTTGGCTTTCGGTTCAGTCTTAGCCACAAAGACTGCCAAATCCTTGGAGGTTGGAGTGCCAGTCAGCCCTCCGGTCCTAGTGCCCGTTTTATTCTTTTTACAGCAGCTGGGAGCAGCTGTGGCCTTCTGATGTACTTCATGCTCAACAACCACAAAGCATTTTTTTTTTTTTTTGCCAACATGACAAGAATATGCAAAGCTGCCAAATTCTGGAACAATGTCTAGGATTATAAAAATCTGCAAAATGCTGAGAAAGAATGGCTTGGAGCAAGCACCTTTGAAAGCATGGATTTAGCTTGGAAACAAAATGTTCAGTCAAGGGCAGAGATATAAGGAGTTACATGAGACTGACTCAGATCGACACTCGGTTCCGTCCAGGCTGTCAATATACACACACATAAAATTTCACTGAAAGGAATTTTCCCAATTTCAAATGAATGGAAAAGAACATCTTGTAAGCAGCTGACTAGTTTTCTCTATAGTTAATTAAATATGGCTCTGATCTCTAAAATGAGAAATATGATGGAACACAACTCCAGCTCAGCATCACTCATTAATTCCCAAATTGTACCTCATCTCTACCATATATGACTATCTAGTGTACAGTTTGGTTGTGCAGCATAGCTTTTTCCAACAAGTTCTGACTTCCAGAAGTGTTAGAAAGTTATTCTGGGAATTGCTATTCAGCATTTCCCAATAGCTCCAAGTTGAGACTTGGTTTAATGCATATAGTTCTGTAAAGGACCAGTCTTGAAATACTGTTATCCTTAACTGGACAGGACAAGCATACTACTAATATTAGAAGTAAGCTATTATAATTTTCTCTCTCTCTAACCTGTGGCTTTGAGAAAGCTCCATTGGTTGAACTGGTGATTCATTCTTTAGAGGTTTAATCACTGCTGAGTCAAAAGAAAATCCACACAAGAATATCTATGGAGAGTCTCAGTCATCCAGGTCATGGTTGTCCCAAAAGTGCTTTTTCAAAAGGCAGCTGGACTTTGTTTTTTCCTTGAAGACATTTCGCTTCTCATCCAAGAAGTGTTTCCTTGAAACGTTTTCAAGGAAAAGACAAAGTCTAGTTGCCTTTTGAAAAAACACTTTTGGGACCACTCGAGATTACCTTACAGAACAGTCACTTGGGATCAACTGAGAGAATCCTGAAAGAAGCCATTACTTCTTGGGATAATTTCTCCTAGCCTTGCTTTGTCTTCTCCATCTGGCAGTGTCTTTCCAGAATGTCAGGTGCTCCTTTTCAACCTTTCAAGACCACATTGACTTCGACACAAAGGAAGAGAAAGCCAAACTTGCATTAGATAGTCTTCCCCCAGCGACAGCACTTTTGAAGAACTCTCAGGACGGCTGAGAACAACCTGTTTTGTGTCTCAGTTTAGGAACAGCCTACGCAAGGATGACATTTTGTCTCCTCAAAAAAATCTGGCTAATTCCTACGAGCACCTTCATTTTTAGCAGGCAATTTCATACATACACGACAAGAAGCAGAAGTATAATTTGACTGCGCAATCACATACGTTCCCTGCAAAAGGAAGTCCCTGTAGCTGAACAGGACATGCTCCCAGGTGGTGCAGCCTTAAGTGATCTTTCACCAGGAACCTTCATTAAGAAATAGCTATGCAAAAAGGTATGAAATATATTGCAATTTTTTTCTGATAGCAAAAACAGTCTTTCTGGGCAGAAATAACTGTATTTTTATTACAGAACTGTACACATTCTGGAAAGGTTTAAAGAAAAGTATTAATTTTCTAATCTCTCTCTCTCTCTCTCTCTCTCTGGCTCCTATTAACAGATACCCTAACCAAGTTACCTACTTTTGTCCCCTTGGCAATGGTTAAAGCTGCAATCATCCTAATTTACAAAACACTTGAAGGAAAAACAAACAAAAAGAGAGAAATTATAGCAATAGCAGCAGCAATCATCTCTTGTTCTTTCCTAAATTTAAGATATACATGCCCAGTCCTTCAATAAAATAAATACGAAAGAACAGGGCAGAAGATGGCTTGGTCTTTTTTCATGCCAGTTAATAACGCATGAATTTTCTGTCACGGAGAAGTAATGAAGAAATGTGCCACTTTATCATGTTACGATGGAGAAATGCACTAAGTCCAGTGGCATTTTTGGCTGAGGAAGAAGCAGAACATGAATTGGTAATACTTAAACCAGAGAAAGGATAGGAGAAGAGTGACAGTCACAAGCCAATATTCACAAGGACTTTACTATTCATTTCACTAGAACATTTATGACATGCTTTTCAGAGTCACGGCTTCCCCAAAGTGATGGATCCATACACACATATATAAAAATGCACAATCCCTGAGGAAATTGAAGCTGAGATTGTTGAGAATGGAGTGCCTTTCTTGTGAAAGGCCCTTTGGAACAAAGACATTTGTAAAACTTTCTTAAAGGCCAGCTCCAAAAGCAACAGGAAATACATAATTCAGAGAGCATTTCTGAGAAAGCTTTGTGTTTCTAACCAGCGAATATAGGAATTAAGTCCAATGTAAGAGATCTGCAGACAAGCTCCATTTCTCCCACAGACTTATCATGTAGCTTTTGGCGAGACCACCTCTGGGTCTTAGAGGAATCTTTATCCAAGAAAATTATGCCATTATGGAGCCAATTCCAAGTCTCGGCAATTGTCTTCTGCTTCTGACAGCTGGGCTAGGCTCTTTTATGGCTGCTCTGTGATTTGTTTGAAAATTCTATTCTATTTGTTGGAAAATTCTAGAGGTAGCATTTTCTTTGCAAAATTCTGCAAAATTTGGAGAGTTCCAATTTCCTAACCAGAAGTTTTGTCTGTCTTCCTTTTTATTTTTCTCCATTGCAAAATCGCTTCACTTCACCATTAAGGTTCACAGAGAGGGTTTAAACTGAAGGATTGGGCAACTAAAGGCAACTTGAATGTTTCCTTTTTAAACCCAGGACTAGTGGTGGCCAAGGGGATGGGTGATATGGTACTGAATGAATGCTTTTACACTCTTAAAATTAGTTGGCTGGAGGGAACCTTAGTTGCCTCATGATGATTTTTCCACGTTTTCTGCATTTTAAAGTTGACAAAATCAAGGGCAACTGCTGGTCCATTTCAAACAAGAGACCAGGGAGTATAAAGTGAGTGAACTGGAAGTGTTCTTAATTTATTTTCACTGAAATGAACACTCATCAGATAATTATAGCAAAGGCAAGCATGAAGACAGCTGTAGTAATATTGCGTAAATGACAGCATATTTCCTATGATTCACTTAAAATTCTCAACGTAAGAAAAAAAAAGATAACCTTGCAAATTAAATTGTTCTTCAGTCCCTTTATTTAAATCATGCAACATGACCCAAATTTGAAAGATACTTGCTTTGGCCCTCCGTCATTTCCTTTAGACAAATTGATATTAGAAAAACCACTGTTAATTTGGATTTTATACGCTGGTCTGTCAGTATTAAAATGTAAGCAAGATGAATCTAAGAGTGCATTGTTCAGATGGGAAAGCATATAATCCAACTGAAATGGAAGTATTTATGTTTGGGAGTTTTCTGATATTATGAATGAGATAAAAGTTAATAAATTCCACACACCCTCAAAAACATTAATATTTTTTGGGGATTTCTCAGCGGAGCGAAGATGATCTTTAAGCAATGAATGATAAGCAAGCAGGATCCGTTCCGTAATGTAGACATACACACATTTGAACAAGTTATATTTTAATCATGTGCTCAGAAAGTTTATAGCTTCATCTCTCTCTGGGTTTTCTAATAAGTGAGTAATATGTACACATACATATTTGCATATATTGATGATCTAAAATCACTTCCTATGCAATTGCAAAGTCCTATATGCTTGACAGCAGCAACTTTATTTATTTATTTATTTATTTATTTATTTATTTAATTTATTTATATGCCGCCCAATCCCAAAGGACTCAGGGCGGCGTACAAAATTAAAACAATCATCGTGAATAAAATAATAAAATACTTCAATCATACCGCAAGTCCGATCATGTCCCCCCCCCGGGGACATCAGCCCCAGGCCTGCTAAAGGCCGGCAGGGTGGGAGTAGTTCGAACCTCGGGGGGAAGTTGATTCCACCAGGTCGGAGCCACCACAGAAAAGGCCCTTCCCCGAGGGCCCGCCAGTCGACATTGTCTGGCCGACGGGACCTGAAGGAGGCCCAATCTATGGGACCTCACTGGTCTCTGGGAACTGTGCGGCAGTATGCGGTCCTGTGAGTAACCTGGCCCTGTGCCATGAAGGGCTTTAAAGGTGATAACCAACACCTTGAATTGCGTCCGGAGACCCACAGGAAGCCAGTGCAGCTCGCGGAGGATAGATGACACGTGGACGTACCTTGGCGCGCCCACAATCGCTCTCGCGGCTGCATTCTGAACCAACTGCAGCCTCCGAACGCTCTTCAAGGGTAACCCCATGTAGAGCGCATTACAGTAATCCAGTCTTGAGGTGACGAGGGCATGAGTGACTGTGAGTAAAGCCTCTCGGTCCAGATAAGGCCGCAACTGGTGCACCAGGCGAACCTTGGGTACAGAGAAGCGTATTTCTAGCTTCCATAACTAGATCTTAAAAAATTATGTATAGCTCACAAGAAAAATTGCATTTCTTCCCCAAGGAAAGCAAGCTCTCCTACCTTTATAGCAATTCAAATGGGTCAGGCTGAGTGTGTGATTAGTCCAGGATCACCAGTGAAACTTAACAGTCTGAATGGCTGAATACTCCTAGGTACCCTCTAAATCCCACATGCCAGTGATTCCCATGGGTTTCCTTAATTTTTTCAGTCAAACTTTTATATACATACATTTATGCCAACTTAAAAAAAAACACCATGAATCAGAGCTCCCACACCAGGATGAAAGTTGCTTTGCTAAATCACTTTCCAAGATGACTGTGCGATGATTCATACATCAGACGGACAATGTCCTACGATCTCACACAACAGACTCCAATTGCTTTGGAGGAGAAGAAAATCTGGTCAGCAGAGGAAATAGCTAATGACATCACAGGTTCTCACAAGATTCCTGTGTGGTGATGCTGTCAAGGTGTGGTGTGGAATGGCTCATACCGGGACATTCTTGGCTTATGG